AGGTTATTATTTTTAAAGATATGCTGAAGTTGTGTGATTCCCTTGGTCCATGTGCGAAAGTTAAGTGGCTGGTTGTTAGCTAGGAAATCAGGGTTATTCCAGATTGGGGTGTATTTAGATGGTGTGAGTGGGGAATTTGTGACCTGATGAAATTTCCACCAGGCTGTCAGAGTTGCTTCTATTGTCGACATTTTAAAACAGTGATGTTTCTTGATTAATTGACTGTGAAAGGGTAATTCTGAAATGTTAATGTCTTTACAAATTGATTGTTCAATATTTGGGGATTTTCTAAGTATAATAATATGTCATCAGCATAAAGACTTATTTTATGGTGTATGTTTAATGATTGAATTCCTTTAATATAATTGTTTTGACGGATAGCTGCTGCAAGTGGTTCAATGAATATGGTGAATAAAGAGGGAGAGAGTGGACATCCTTGTCTAGTTCCCCGGTGTAGAGTGAAGCTGCGTGATGTTAGTCCGTTAGTAATCACAGTAGCTGAGGGTGAAGTGTAGAGAATTTTGATCCAATTAATAAATGACTCCCCAAAACCAAAACTGTGTTGAAATCACCTGCTATTATGACGGGGCAATTAGAAAGATTTGAAATGGAGGGAAAAAAAATCTGAAAAAAAGATGGGTCATCTGTATTTGGGCCATATAAGTTTCCTATCGTGAGTAATTGTTAATTGTAATGTTAATTATGACAAAACGTCCCTCTGGGTCTGTAATGGTGGTGTTATGAACAAATGATATTTTTTTATTTATTAGGATACGCACTCCTCTCTGTTTTGTGTTGTAGTGGGCAGAATATGAATGATATTGTGATGATTTGATTTTGTTTTGATCAAGTTCTGATAAGTGAGTTTCTTGTAGAAGGCATATGTCTGCTTGTAGTTTACTTAAATGATTAAAAACTTTGATCCTCTTTGCCTGGGAGCCGAGTCCACGGACGTTTCAGGATAGAAATTTGATTGATGACATATTTTTAAAGGATTACAAAATAAGTAGGTAAATATATTAGCAATGTATATTGATATACAAGTCTGTTTTACATAAATGTATGTATTTGAAAAAGTGTGAAATTTTACCTGTTTCTGTGTGTATGACATGACAAAATGTACACATTACAACAATGACCAAACAAAAATGACTTTAAATACCAACATAAAGTTTAAGGTGGGAGGGGGGATGAGACCTAGGTGCGATAACAAAACCATAATTTAGTGATATGAGGGAGATGAATAAAGAGATAAGGTAACATTCAAGAGTGATGCGTTCAAAAAAGCCAGGGGGTAATGTCCTTGTCACGGTATAACTGTCCATCTATGTATAATTTGTCCACTGTAATGATTGCTCGTTTTCCTTCGTTCATTTTTTGTTTTCTGATTGGAAAGAGTTTTTTTTCGACGTTCGAGAATGACCTTTGGGTATTGTTCGTTGAGTCCGTAAGTTGTACCTTTAAGTTGTCTCCCTTGTTTTTGTACCAGTTCTTTGTGTTTGTAGTGTTCGAATTTTGCAACGATAGGACGCGGTCGGCTGTTGTTATGTTGGGAACGGATGCGGTGGGCACGATGAAAGGTGATGTTCTGTACAGTTTCAGCTGGCAGTTTGAGTTGTTTTGTCATGAAATCCTTGATTAATTTTTCGGGGTCGTCTGGAGTTTGGTCCGGGATGCCTGTAAAAACTAGATTGTCTGTCATGCTGCATGCTTGTAAGTCCAATACGTTTTCCGTTATTGATTTGTTTTCTGTGACAATGGAGGTGAGTTGAGCGGTAAGTGCGTGAACTGAGTCCTTAAAAAAGTTATTTTCTTTTGTGAGTGTGTCAATCTGTTCTTGGCTGAATTCTAAACTGTGACGGATTTCTTTAAATTCTTTGTGAATGACTTCTATTAGTGCGATTCTTGTGTCGAGTCCGGAGAGTTTATTTTCAATTGAGTGTAATATTTCGCTTACCTCGGTACAACAAGATGGTGAGGGGGGTGATAAATTCATGCTTGAAGGAGAGTCGGGACGGGGTCTCTTGAAGTTTGGAGCGGGATTACCTTTTTTGTTGTGGTCTGTTCAAATCCTACATTGGCCTTAGCCATAGCCATCTCAAAGAAGCCAGAAGGCCCTCACCAGCAGAAATCCTAATTCCAGCAGCCAAAGGCCCGGCCTCAACCCAACCACATCAACCTCTCAAGCGCGAGGGCACAACCCAGCCACATTGGCTTCCTAAGGGCGGGGGCACTACCCAGCTACTTCAACTTCCCAAAGGCATGGGCACAACCCAGCCATTTAACCTTCTTCCTTCCAGCTCTGAGTTTCAATCAGCTTTCTCTCCCATTTCACTCAGCTAACTCATACCCCCCCCCCCCCCCCCCCCTTACATGCTTTATCGACCAGGCAGGAGCCTTGGGCTTAAATATCTCCAAACTCAGGGTTCTCTCCTAGGACAGCATGCCAAACCTGCTAATAGCATCAAGCGATATCTAAGTGTGAACTGTTGAAACACAAATAAGAAGAAACATAGGAATATTTGTGTATACTCTGTATTTTATTTAATTTTTTTTTTCAACAGGGGAACATGTGAAACAATACAATAAAGAAAAAATTCTGTCAAAACACTAAAAAACGCTTTTGCATGTTTACTTTAAAGGAGTGGTCCACTATGATATCATATTTTAAACTTTAGTTGATGTGTAATGTAGCTGTGTGAACATAAACAGCATCTCTGAATGTTAAATGCTCAAAGTTCAATGCAAAGGGAGACCTTGGTTTTTACAGAGTTAGCTTAGCAAAGCCTACAGTGAATGAATTTTGGGGACTACAAAAAATACTTCCGCCCCCTGAGAGATCACAAAAATTCGTTATTGCACATCCCACACTGCGCATGTAAAGGCCCGTGGCCAGAGACGCTGTAACGTTACTGCAGAGGGAGAAATGCCATCCTGCTGTTTCCACAGAGCAGTTCTGTTTCTGTATTTGGGCTTCCAAATGACACGACCCAAACACAGAAGTGCTTAGAGTTCAATAGTAATTATGTTCCAGAGAACTATAAAATGCATAGCAAGCATGATTTGACAAAACGCAGCTTTCAGAATCTCTCCCAGTTCAGTGCTGGATTCGGCTAAAATCTCCTCAAAGATGGAGCAAGGAGATGCTGTGAACTCTGTGAGGCATGACCTGTAAGTGTTTTGATTTGTTAAAATTGATCATGACATGTACATTTTTAACAGTATGTTATAACAAAGATGTAAATAGCGAGAAATTTTGTTCACCGCTAACGATTTAGCTACAAATCCATATTTATCAGTCAAACGGCTGTAAACACACACACCCTCACACACACATACACACACACTCTTGACCAGCACCTGCGTCTCTCTTTGTGAGACGGCAGAGTTTCTCTCTAAAGGCAACTTTCCCATGCGTTTTACAACTCGGACAATAAAGTCGCAAAAGATATGTGAACGATTCATGTTACTTACACAGGCATATTCCAAATATGCGTAAAAGACGTCCTGTAATGCGTTGATTTGAAGGGCACCTAGGTTACCCCTTTTTTCAGATTTAATATAAGTCTTTTGCGTCTCTAGAATGTGTATATAAAGTTTCAAATCAAAATACCCATCAGATTTTTCATTATACCTTTTACAAGATGCTGTTTTATACTGATTTCCAGCAGGGGGTGGTTTTGTCGTACTGCCCCTTTAAGACGAGTTCTGCCCGCCCACTGTTTCTACATGCCTCCTCCCTTGTTTGTGAGATACTACAGTAAGAACTAACCTTTACTAATCAGTATTGTGAAGTTGCATTGATGAGTCACACACAATATCGTTACAAAGTTAACGCGCGCGCACACACACACACACACACACACACACACACACACACACACACACACAAACACACACAAACACACACACACACACACACACACACACACACACACACACACACACACACACACAGATACTAACGCAGGCAGGCAGGCAGGCAGGCAGGCAGACAGACAGAGCGCGCTTAGCTTAGTTAAGGCTAACCTCAAGTACTGTGTGGATATCTGTTATGCTAATGTACAAAATAAACCTGATTTAACTTCCACAAACCGGGATTGAAGCGTCTTCTTTTATAATTGTTTAATTGTTCTGACGCGGCTGTGCTGATGAAGTAAAGCTGAAGTAAAACGCTGTAATTAATTACACACATACTCTATTTTCAAACACTTTAAACATGTGAAACTTACTCCTAATCACATTTGATGATTATTGCTGATCCTAGCGAACAGAACAGACCTTTTATTCCCGGTTGCTTTGCCTATGTCTGTCTGGTCTTGTTGACATATACACGCGACTACCGGAACATGTTAATGCGCGCAGCTGTCAATCAATTCGGTGGGCGGGGGGATCGCACACCTACGTAATGGTGCGATTGATTTGAAAACAACTCCAATTGGCCGACCCTTTTTTTGTAGCTAAATTAAAAAAAAAAGGACTGGGTGTGTTCATATCACCCCAGTATGATGGTCTATACACTATACCAACACACAGATCTGTCCAAACAGCTTGAAAAGTAGATTTTTTACCATAGGTGCCCTTTAAAAAAAAATACAGCAATGCTCTCCCAACTGGAGTGTAACATCAAAAACAAATCAATCCAGGCTCACACAGGTCTAATCTCACATCTTGTGCTTTATTTTGTCACCACAGAAATAACTTAATCTGAGCATGAGAGAAAAAGAACAATACATATCTCTCCCACGCACATGCGCTTCTCGTGTTACAGATACTTCATAGTATTCACACGCACACACATAAACACTTAAAGGAGCCGCATCCCATTTTTACTCGTTACAAACACGTGTTGACTGACTGACTACACAAAACAGGCGTGCTTGTCCGGGCATGACGTGGAGCCGATCGGCAAATCACAGCAACATGATGATGACCAATCAGAGTCACTTGAGGGCGGGCCTTTTAGAGGAATTAGGAAATATGACGTTTTTATGTTAGCTGAGTAGCTGTGTATAATCAAAGTAAGATATATGAAAAAATAAAACAATTTCCTTCAAATGAAACATGAGTACACATTGCTTTACATCTTATAAACACAACCAAGCCTTAAAATTACATTCTGGACCACCCCTTTAAAAACACTGCATTCAGGAGCAAGATAAATTATTTATAATATTTCCAAAAATTGGATATCAGGGATGAGGGATCAGGGATGAGAAACACTACTTTACATGTAAGTCAGTTATCACGTAAGTTTTGTATGAGTTGTGAAACATTCATCTCACAGATCCACTGAAATCTTCTGTCACATTGGATATCAAGCCACCCTGAAAAAGTAGGCCATTCTTTCACTCTATCAGCAGACACTGCACAGTTTTCTCTAGTGCCTCCATTTGGTTCTTGAGTTGAAGATGACCAGAAGCTCAAACTACAAATCAGAATCAAATGTTTTGTGCTGCGTTCTGCATGTTATGAAAATGACTGTGAGAATTATTAGACAATAATTAGTCCAATTTTGTGATTTCTTACCGAGAGTTCAGTGTGCTGCCATCAATCCATTTCCATGTGCCCTCAGTAACACTGTCATTCATACCAATCCAGACTGCAGCTCTATCAGAAAATCTGTTAACAAAATCCTAAGCACATGAGACAGATTAATATCAGAAACTGATCATTGTGTGTCATCTGATCTGATCACTTATCGTCTAAATTTTAAAAATACAGACACGCACACAAACACACTCTCACTCACTTGTTCTTCTGAGTTGTTTATGATGATCAGGTCTGCTCCTCTTGCTATACAGTCACGTCTGCTCTCATCCAGTTTCATTGTTATACTGGACTTGTAGTAAAAGCTGGACTGATTGTAAGTCCATCCATCTGTTAACAGAACAAGTAGAGCTTTTTATTCCCATTTACACTCAACTGGCAGATTGTACTCAGACTTTATATATAAATGTACGCTCAAAGATACCACAGCCTTCTCCACCATGTTTTAACAGGGCTTGCTGTGCAGAAAAAATATTACACAGATTAAAGAAAAAACAACTTTACCGACAATCTGAATTTTTTTCAGCAGATTTTGATTCTTTACTTTTAGCTGGTCATTCTCAAGCGACAGATTCCTGATGTTTCGAAATAACTCTTTTCTCTCTTCTGTGAGATTGGTAATTTTGGTTAGTAACTGTGTTCTCTCTTCGGTGAGGTTGGTAATGTTGGTCACTAACTGATTTCTCTCTTCTGTGAGGTTGGTGATGTTGCTTAGTAACTGTTTTCTCTCTTCTATGATGTTGGTAATGATGGTTAGGAACTTGTCTCTGTCTTCTGGGATGTTGGCGATGTTGGATCGTAGCTGGCGTCTCCCTTCAGTGTAGTTTGTGTTGTTTGTATAGATGAAGACACTCAGCACTATGACAGCAGTCAGCAGAAGAAAACACAGCAGCACTAAACGCACTAGAGCTGCTCTGGAGCTTCTGTTTTTGACAGAATTGCTTCCTAAAGATAGCAAACAATACAAGAACATAACTTCTGTAATTTAAAGTTTATTTTAACTATGTAAAGTAAATGTATCTGAGTTACCTGTGTGTTGAGGTGTTTGAGTTTCTGATATTTGAGTGTTAAAGTCCTTTGTATTATTGCCATGCTTCATGTTTCTTACAGCCTCTGCAGTGATGTAGATACAAGACATTTCCAGTGTTGTTTAAATGGCTACAGCGTTTTAACTATGAATCCGTATTTGTAAAAGCTTATAAGTAAACCTGAGTATCTGATGTCTCTTCTGAGGTGGATGTTTTTTTCTCCTGATGTATCTTTGTGTGTCTGTAGTAATAGTTCTTGCATTTATATATATCGTATAAAAGGAACTTGCATGTTATAGGAAGTTAGAATGTCAACTTCCTAATGTCCTCTTACATTACAGAATGTTGAACTTAAAATAAGGGTAGTTTATTTGCAAGCTTGATAAATAGTTGCAGCTCAAGAAATGTATTATTATTATTATTATTATTATTATTATTATTATTTTTATTTTTATTACTCTTGTCAGGTAAATATTTAAAAAGGCGTCACGGTGTCGAATTAGGTACCATAATTACCTCCCAACAAGAAGGTCACTGGTTCGAGCCCCGGCTGGGTCAGTTAGCGTTTCTGTGTGGAGATTGCCTGTTCTCCCCATGTACGAGTGGGTTTCCTTTTGGGTGCTCTGGTTTTCCCCACAAGTCCAAAGACATGCACTATAGGTGAATTGAATAAGCTAAATTGGCTGTAGCGTATGTGTGTGTATGCAAGAGTGTATGGGTGTTTCCCAGTGTTGGGTTGGGATGGGCATATGCTGTTTAAAACATATGCTGGATAAGTTGGCAGTTTATTCCGCTGTGGCGGCCCCTGATTAATAAAGAGACTAAGCTGAAAAGAAAATGAATAAATGAATGAATGAATGAATGAATGAATGAATGAATGAAATATTTAGAAAATTAAGTCATGTGTTTGAGTAAAACAAAATTTGTTTTATTTTGTTGATATTTCCTATAAATTTAAAGCAGCACGGCACATATATTTTTCAACCTTAAAGGGCCATGAAACCCCCTCGTTTCAGCAGGGTGTTTTCACACCTCCACTTTGGAAAAAGTCAGAAAAGTGGGCGTGTCCAGCTCTGTTTAGGGGGGAGTGTCGGAGGAACTAAAGTGGGAGGGTGTGGGAGTGTCTATTTGGGCACGCGCGAGTTTCAGTCAAAATACACACACAGGAGAAAGTGATGGTGTTTAACCTACATGGACATCTGTAGTGGAATTATTTGCCAAATTATTAAATGGTGGACTTTAACTGCAGTTTGGCTCTTTCATTCAGGGAATTCATTGATGTCCCTCGCGACAAACAAGATATTTGATTCGAGGATCTGCTCTAAGCGTGTATTTTTCATGCAATGTTTGATACCGCACGGCGAATGACAGAAAAAAAAACTCCGCATTTCCCGGAAACTTAGATGCACACGGCAGGTAACGTCAGAAAGCCTCGTGTGTTATTCCGGTCACAAAATGCGGTGCTAACATTTCTGCACTCAGTGCAATAGTTAACTTAATTCGATATGAACAAACTGAATATACAAAGAGCACTGGTCGCTCACTTACCAAATCTGTAGAGACAGGACAATCACCAGCAACTAGAGCCGCGTCTTTATGAAGAGAAGACTACATCCGGAATCCGGATCTCAGCGTTTGCAGATGAGAACAGCTCTCAGGTAAACAATAATCCCCCTTAGACACGTAAGTTATTGTTGTCGAGCGTCGTGTACACTGTTAATCCACACGTGATCCAGATAAGCTCTCACAGATAGAAAATGAAAACGAAACTTAACGGCAGCAAAATATAAAAGCAACACTTCACGCTTGTTTTGCCAACACAACGTGGCGTCTCTGTGGTGTAAACACTGTGACAGTAATGAATATTAATGAAGTTGCACAATAGAGCGCGCTGATTGGTTTGAACCAAGCCTTACTCATGCATTAATGCATCACACTGTAAGACGTAATAAGACACACTCTGGCACAGACGTCCAGTCTGCACGCTGGAATACACGCTATTATGTCATGACCGTGACGCAGCTTCAAAAATTTGTTTCAAACAGGAAGTACGAATTTGCTTGAAATAACGCAAAAACAACCAATTTACACTTTTTAGTGAAATATAGATGTCCTAATAGTGTTTTTAGCAGTGTGGGACACATATACGACTGTCAATAGCTCAAAAAATGTGTTTTGGTGTTTCGTGACCCTTTAAAACAAGGTCTCTAAAATCATATCAGTGATATAATAACTAAGTTGTATATTAACTAGATTTATTCTGCTATTGGATATGCCTCCTGTTGCTTAAAATCATGCAAGAAACTTTGGGTCAGTGACCTGGTACACACAGCCATCCATCCCACAGCCCTGTCCCACACAAAAATCACTTTTAAAAGTGTTTTAAATGCAGTTGTGTGGCAGCATTCTTTGTATACAGCCAGCCTTTAATGATAAAAATTAATCAACTATATTTTTATAACAAAACTTGATAAAAACAGTCTGCAAAACACATTGATTGATATTATTAATTTGTACCTGTCATTAGAGGGGGATAGCCCTGCCCATTAGTGACAATCTCTCCCTCATTAGCATAAACAGACCTGAGTGAAAAGCAGCTGTCCACCACTAGAGTTTTCACCTGCTGAAGATAATATCAGTGATTAAGAGGATAAATGTGGAATTTTAAGATGCAAAAATGCACACAGTAGTCTCTGTCTGTAGTCACTGTAGTCAGCCTTCTTTTTTAAATCAGCTGCTCTGCTGATGCATAGGCATTTTTAGCCCCGCCCTCTTTTGAAGAGAACATATCTAATTTTTGCAGAAATTTTGGTTTCAATATTTTTATTGCAAAAAACAGAAATGTGCGCACATCCAGAAAAAACTTGAAGGCAGGTGCACGATCAAAAAACAAACATAAGTAGCAAAAGATTCAAAGTAGGTCGGCACACTGCCACTTTAGCTCTCAAAAAATTTTATTAGTCAAAATCACAAAAACACTACGTTTCGACCGACATGGTCTTCATCAGGTAAAGCGTTGCAAATGGAAGTCCTCCAGAAATAGACAAACAGCTCTACACAGCACCTGCAGTCAATTATCACAATCAGCTAACAAGCCGGTAAACAGGAACAATTGCATACAATAATATACATCTTAAACAATGTGAAAAACATGAATACAATTACAAACAGACATTCAAAATACAAATACAAATTCTCACTATAGAATTCCTCGGAGACAGTATTCTATAGGCTAGATAGATATAGCACATCACACCTGCACAAAATCACATCACTCAAACAAAGCCTGTAGACCTAGGGGCAAAAAACATTATGTACATATTTAGTATACAACAATTCATTCATTCATTCTCTTGTCAGCTTAGTCCCTTTACCAATCCGGGGTCGCCACAACAGAATGAACCGCCAACTAATCCAGCAAGTCTCTACGCAGAATCACTCAAAGTCACCGCATGCAGGAAAAGTTTAGTTTCTCTTGTGAAAAGATGATTAAGTGTGCGTTTTACATCTTCATTTGCAGCAGAATTGTTGTTTAATCCAACAGTTAATTCATATTTGTCTAATATTCTTCTGTGGCGGCGATATATTGATGATATTTTCATGATTTGGTGTGGCTCAGAAAATGATTTGCTTGTTTTTCAGCAATTTTTAAACCACACTAGTGAACATCTTAAATTTACTATTGAGTTCAACCCCTCGCAAGTGAGTTTTTTAGACTTGCTGATAATAAAAGATGGGAGTAAATTGGTGACAGATTTATATAGAAAGCCTACTGATAAAAATACATTTTTACATGGTCTGAGTTTCCATCCCACTAAATTAAAGAAAAGCTTGCCAATTAGTCAGTTTAAAAGAATTCGACGGATCTGTAGTAATACGGAAACGTTTGAAAAACAACGTAAGGAATTATGTCAACGTTTTTATGATAGAGGTTATTCTACAAAATGGATTAAGGAAGCTGCGGCCCGTTTCGAAAATATGGATCAAAAAGAAGCCTTGGTTCGAAAAACACTAAAACCTACTAACACACGGATTTCTTGTATTATTCAATATTCGGCTTTAAGTAATGAGTTTGCAAATATAGTACGTAGACATTGGCATATATTAAATTCAGACCCTGTTATGAGACACTGTTGTAAATATCCTCCACGAATTGTTTTTAAACGAGCTCCTAATGTGCGACAAATGATAGTGAGAGCAGATCAAGGTTCCGATCGGTCGGATAATCCTTTCTCAGTCCCTGAAGGTAACTATAGATGTGGTCAATGCGCACAGTGTAATTTTACAACCAAATGTCAGTTTTTTAGTCATCCACATTCAGGTAAGCAATTAAAGATTAAAGGTGTGATTTCATGCAACACAAAAAATGTGATCTATATGATTAAATGTCCTTGTGGTTTAGCCTATATAGGTAAAACAAGACGGTGTTTAAAAACACGAATTGCTGAACACAGAAGTAATATACGATTAAACGATCAACGAAATCCTATCGCCGTTCATTTTAATGCATTGAAACATAATCTTGCGACTTTGCGATATATTGGCATTGAACAAGTGAAGGTGCCGAGAAGGGGAGGCGATGTTGACAGACTTTTATTACAGAGGGAAGCGTTTTACATTTACACACTAAACACTTTATCCCCGAGAGGTTTGAATTTAGATTTTGATTTAAAATCTTTTTTGTAAGTGTTTGTGCATTCTATATTGTTGTATACTTTTCCCAGAGATGGGTTGCGGCTGGAAGGGCATCCGCTGCGTAGAGACTTGCTGGATTAGTTGGCGGTTCATTCTGTTGTGGCGACCCCGGATTGGTAAAGGGACTAAGCTGACAAGAGAATGAATGAATGAATTGTTGTATACTAAATATGTACATAATGTTTTTTGCCCCTAGGTCTACAGGCTTTGTTTGAGTGATGTGATTTTGTGCAGGTGTGATGTGCTATATCTATCTAGCCTATAGAATACTGTCTCCGAGGAATTCTATAGTGAGAATTTGTATTTGTATTTTGAATGTCTGTTTGTAATTGTATTCATGTTTTTCACATTGTTTAAGATGTATATTATTGTATGCAATTGTTCCTGTTTACCGGCTTGTTAGCTGATTGTGATAATTGACTGCAGGTGCTGTGTAGAGCTGTTTGTCTATTTCTGGAGGACTTCCATTTGCAACGCTTTACCTGATGAAGACCATGTCGGTCGAAACGTAGTGTTTTTGTGATTTTGACTAATAAAATTTT